GGGGTACATGTCTTGGAAGGATTTCCTTGTCTAGGATGTGGGGGGTGGGGGGTACATGTCTTGGAAGGATTCCCTTGTCTAGGACTCGTGAGAGACGCTTTCCTGGAAGAATTTTCATCAATTAGGACATGGGCACAACGTCCTGTATACATAATGCAACATCTGACCACGTTACTTGCAACGTTAGACAAACGTGGGAACTGACAGATCTCAACTCTTTCCTATTGTTTTAAGGATTTGTTTTGAATTCATACATTGTTTGGTACATGCAGAAGTTTGGGGATGACCGTACTCATTTTTTTCACATTATTGTTTTAGAGTACAATTTACTACTTTGTTTGGCTAAATTTTTGTGACCACACACTATTTACAGTATTGGGAATATTAGCAGTCTAGTCTCAAAGCTGGATGAATGGCACAAAAGGGCATTATTAGAACCATGTTTTAACGTTTTTGCGTTTCTATTTCATAGATTAAATTTGTACTTTTCGTGAATGCGTTTTCTTTTCCCATTGCCAAACTGCTAGAATATCTGTGCAATGTTTTCATTAACGAAAGGGAAACAAATGTCACAGCTGTGTAAAAATATTGTTTGGATCCATCCATTACTGTACTTTGCGCTCCAAAGCTTGAAAGGATGATTGATCGAGTTCATGACCGATTACAGTAGCATGAAATTACTCATTTCAAAGTCGTAATTCAAAAGAAATGATTTTCCTAGCGAAACTAAGTAAAAGATTATTATGTTAATAATAGTAACCCTTTCTATACACATTCTACATCCACACACTGTTTCATGTTGTCTATTCAGTTTCCAGTACTCTGAGGGGTCAATCATCCTTTTCGGCCAATATAATGATATATCATAGTCATACATGACATTGTTTTTGTAAACACATCTTGAGAATCTAAAAAGTTTCCTACAAATAGGGAATGCCTATCCATAGGGAAAGAGGATAGTGCTGTGTCCCTGCTCGGTGAAGAAGAACAACAGACACCACGAGTGTATGTGTGCTCTTTGTTGTCTTTCCTATTGAAACTATACCACATTCAAAATCTAAAACAGATACATGTACCGGAAACCGATGCGTTTTTCTACAGAAAAGTTACAATCTTTGATATTTCTCATTTCGAACTTTGAACGTTTGTAATTGCTGTGTACACGTATTTAAAAAAATATATGTATTTAAGTTCTTTTGGAATCAGTCTGTGAGTGCTTTTTACTTTTAGTGCAGTTTTACACATTGTTTCAGAATAGTTCTACACCTCGGGTCTACATTACAATTTACATGTATATCACACTTGTTATTATTATGACACATATGATTAAAAATGCATGAGTATATTCTTGATTACCGGCCAATAATCTTTCCCTCTACCTTTTGATTGGTCCTTCAAGGACATAAACACTAAATTAAGAAAAGATATATGTAAAAAAAATAAAATTAATCATCGATATGTTATAATGATAGTGACAAACGTCAAACTTGAGCCACTATCAAACAGATCTTCTATTGCCCATAACACGCCTCGTGCGCACGGTTCAAGCATGTGTCCTGTACAAAAACTCCTCACATGGTACTTTATCCAGCACTCTAATCACCGAATCGTTTCAAATATTCAATTTTTTCGTATTCATAGATGATTTTTTTTTAAAAATAAGAAGTTCTCTCTCGCTCCGTATATGTTTCATTTGTTCTCATTAAAATATCACTTCTTACTAAATATTATTATGTGTTGTCTGGTCTATAATATTGTGTTGATTGTGGATATAAAAAATGCGCCTACCTACATTTGAAATTTCATATGGTCACTGGGATGCGATAATGGCATAGATCTAGATCTACGTCCTTTTCGGCACTTTTGGGAAAATCAATAAAACCCTTTTTTTTCCTCAATTGTATCATTAGTTTCCGATTTTAGCATTTTCCTATTTTGTAGTTATTCCCATGATAATTTTTTTCGAAGAATTTTACTAATAAAATGGAATTAATTTATTACAAATTATGAAGTATTGGAAAGGGCTGGAATTGAAGACATCAACATAGCCATAAAGAGGAGAAGATGGAGATATCTAGAACATGTTCTAAGAATGCCGAAGACAAGATTGCCCTATCAGGCATTGTATTGGGAACCAATTGGAAAAAGAAAACGAGGAAGACCAACTGGAAGCTATAGAGGCACAATAAGAGAGAACGCAATCACCCAGGGCCTGGATTTGCCGACATTTGAGGATGTGACCAGGGACAGGCAAGTGTGGCGTCGACTGCTCTCCGCCTCACGTACCTGAGGAGTATAGGGAGAGACCTGGCCTGACTTCCCCAGCTAGATAAGAACTATTTTTTGACGAAAAAAACAACAGGACAGTTTGGTCAAAACATAACTTGAAATTATAGTTCGGTTACACATAACGATAAATTGTACAAGAAACTGGACGATCTATCGATCATACGACAAATCGTTAGGTGTAACCAAAAAACTGTTCAAAGTTTGGGCGGTGGCCTGGAGACTCGGTCGAGATATCAAGTGCGATGTTTGATATTTTGCGCACGATCACGGTCAGATTTGGAGGAGACATGTTGTGACGTAGAATCACCTTAAAAACTTGCCGCACCGCAGGATTAAACTTCGTGCGCAAAATGTAACCCCCAAAAATATATCGCAGCTTAAAGCAGACTGATTTCATATATTCGGAATCAGCGTCTCAAAATAAGCAAAATGATTCGCGAAGAACCTGATTTGATGCGATACTATCTGGTTAATTTTAGCAATTTCATTTTTCGATCGTAAATGTTGGAGTTGTGTATCAAGGTCACGCGGGACGCTGTGCTTCTGAAGTCAAGAAAGGTGGGGAGGGGGGTGACAAAGGAAAAAGGGTGGGGGGAGGGGGCTTTCGTGTTCAGAAGGTACAGTGTTCGCCTCTCATTCAAAAGGTTCTTACCTCCAAACCTGATAGCCACGGAAATTTTTCTTCTCTAAAAGTAAAGTATGTTCTCCCTTCACCGCCTTTCCAGCTCTCTAATAATGTTCTGTCATCTGTTTTCGTCTCCCCTTTCTGATCCCCCC